TTTTAATGAAAAAAATGCATGAGGGTAATTTGAACTATTTAAACAGTACCAAAGTGTCAAAGGAAATGTATAAAATGAATGCTCCATTTAGACCTTTGGAGGGGAAAGAGAATAATTATAACTATTGTTTTACAAATTGAGCAAATCAATTGCTTTCCAATTTTCAAAAATTCCTTATCCTTACTTGATGCTGGTCACAGTTCCCAGATTCTCTGTGACTCCCTGAGGACCTGACAAAGACACCATCTCCTTTAGTTCTCTTCAAAACTGATTTTGTCTTTTCTTACATCTGATTAGTATTCTTTTGTAAATTTTTAAAATTTTATTTTCATAAAGTTGTTCGCAATAATTGTTTGCATTCAACATTTCAACACCAATCCCACCACCATTACACCTTCCTATCACCATTATTTCAAATTTTCCCACCACCACCCAAGCCAAACCCATAGACTAAATAATTTATTTTTGTAATGCTTGTTATGAGATGTCATGTGGCCACAAAAGCGGCTGAGCACTCCTGGAATTCTAAAATTTTTTTAAATATTTGGGGTACGAAGGCAGCTTCTGCAGAATGTTGCTCTCTTCCGAGATTCATTTGTGAGTCTCTGAATCATGGCCGTTAATGCACTTAAATGGCTCCCAGAGGCAGTTCGTGGTGTGACTACTGCCAGGGAACCAGAAAGGGCAGGGAGATAGGAGGAGGTCACCCATACACAACTCTCTGAAGCCTGGAGTTTTTAGTCACTAGCCCCACATACCTGGGTTTTTCAGTGGATTTAATCTCATGACTGTTGGGGGTGGGGGCTCAGGACTAACCTGTGAAGGTTGGCCGTAAGCCTGGCAATGATTGGGTTCTGGAGGTTTGCAGCTACTGGGGTTCCTTTGGGACAGGTGGAGGGACACACTTGCGCCCCACTCCAAGGTGCTCAGGTGAAAGCAGCCTGATGCAGGGTGGGGAGACATCTCTGCAGAGTGCAGCTCTTTTCTGAGATTCATTTGAGAGTCTCTGAATCATGGCCATTAATGCACCTAAATGGCCTGATTTTTTTTTATCTCTTTTGAGATTTATTTATGGATCTCTGAAGCAAGTGGATAAATGAGCTTGTATAGCTGAGCCAGAGGCAGTTTGTGGGTGTGACTCCCACATATCTAACTTTTGCCCATTTGATTTCTTGGGAAACTTGGTCCCAAATTGTTGGGGTCTGGCCAGAGGCACAGTGGCAATTTTGGGGTATCAGGAAGCCTGAAGGCACATCAGGGCTGCTGATGCACTCGCCCTGCAGGCATAGGTTGATCTGCTGGGTGGCACCATACCCCCATTTAGTAGTATATTCCATGTATACACCACGGTTTCTTTTCTTCCCTCCTCCCTTAATTTAAAAACTACAGTTTAGAAAGTTGTTCCTGATGCCTTTGTTGCAGGCATTCAATATTCCAACACCACCACTAGAGTCACCTTCCCTCTACTATTGTCACTATTTTCCTCACCACCCCCTAAACCTGCCCTCTTAACAGACACAAAATACTTTATTTGTATTTCTTGCTACAACTTGGTGGCTAATGGAATTATCAAAACATAACTTTAGGGGCTGGAGTGATAGCACAGTGGGTAGGGTGTTTGCCTTGCACACGTCCAACCCAGGCTTGATTCCCAGCATCCCATATGGTCCCCTGAGCACTGCCAGGAGTTATTCCTGAGTGCAAAACCAGGAGTAACCCCTGAGCATTGCCAGGTGTGACCCCCCCAAAAAAACCAAAACCCCCCCCATAACTTTAGCAAAAGAAAATTTGTGGAAACTGTTATATGCTCACCATGGGGATATGTGTCCTTGTTTTTGTTTATTGAGCTTCACTGACTTCTATGTTACTTTCCCCTCTAATTTCCTGTGTTCCTACTGGGATATGTATATTGTAGAGTTTGGTGTCACATGGCAACATTTGTTCCAAAAACTCCAGAATATTTAACTGGGCAGTGAGTTTACATGGTGGTGATTTTTGGGATATGGGTATGACTACTGAGGCTTCAGGAAGTATGGAGGGATGGGGGAAGGCTGCACCACGAACTCCAAGAAGACCCCAAAATTCTCAGCCTGAGGACCAGCGTACCTGAAATTTTTGGCAGTTTGGTGTCTCTACAAAGTTTATTCATGAGGTGGTAGACCGTCCATAAGTTTCTCTGTTCAGTCACCTGTTCTTGAACGTGTCAGTGGTTTTCAGATTTTGACTATTGTGAATAGTGCTGAAATGAACACAGGAGTGTAAACTTCTTTTATGAGTAGAATTTTGGGGACTTAAGGGTAAATGCCTACAAGTGGAATTACATTCTTTCGTGTTTTTTGTTTTTTTTTTGCAGAGGGAGGGTCACACCCAAATGTGTTCATGGGCTATTCCTGGCTCTGTGCTCAGGGATCTCTCCTGGCAGTACTCAGGGAACTATATATGGTACTGGAGAATGAGCTAGGGTTGCCATATGCAAGGTAACTACTTTATCCACTGTACTGTCTCTCCAGTCCTATTTGAGGTTTTTAAAGGTACTGGATGCCCTATGGGTGGGTCTCCCAGAGAAAATATCATATAGGTGGTCACCAGCTTCCCTGGGCCAATGCCTGGATAGGTACACTTGTCTTTGTAAATAGGGTAGCCTTATGTCCTCCACAAAACCACCTTTGCCATCAGTATTGGTTATCCTTTTTGGAAATCTGTGCCACTATTAACTAATAGAAGAACCTGTAAAACTTATAAAGCATCACCATACCTTCAAATTAAAGCTAAACCATACTTCACATGAGGTTTAAATATAACATATGCGCCTCTGGTTTTTGTTTTAATTATTTGCCTGCAACCCCTGGGATTCCAGTGATATATTACACTGAATGGCATAAAATCCAGGTCCAAACAGCCTCAGTCCTTAAAACATTGTTAGGAATGGAGAAGATTAAAATTCCTTCAAATTTGAAAGTTGTAATCCTCCTAAGTATTTGTTGTTGTTGAGATGACAACAGTAAGAAAAGTTATTCTTTCTAGTTATCTATTTGCTCTAAGTAAAAATATATGGCATAATTTTCTCTTGAAATGATCTTGAAATTCTTATTACCAGTATTTGAGAGAAATAAAAGTCAATGGTAATCCAAATGACACTTTAAAATCTTTATTGATACCATTTTATGATGTTTATTTACATATATATCTATTTATGTATTCTTCCAAACTATATCTTACAATTTACAGCAAAGCACTTTTCTCAATATTAAATCTAGCAAAAAAAGAATACCCTATAAACTACGGGTACAGTTCTAAGTTCAGAGTAAAAAAAATAAATAGTTCTAATATTATTAATATAGTGTTCTTTAAAACACTAAACAGGAAAACTCCAATAATTTTTTCAAATAAGAGCCACAAGAAATTAATTACTACGTACATTACAACTTGCAAATATCACGTTGTTAGGATCACCTACTAACAGAAGACAAAGAAAGCTTTGTGACAATGACCAAATCACTCAGGTTTGTTGTCTTAGTTATTTTTTGTGCTAGATTGAAATAAGGACTTTTCATCTAAACACCATATTTTGAGATCATGTAGATAATAGTCAGCTTACAATTTTTATGATGGCTGCACAGTATTTACTTTGTTATTCACAGGCCCTAAAATACTAGATGATTGTAATGCCACACTAAGGAAATTATCCATATTTTTTCTAATAGTTATTAATTAGAAATAAAAATATATTGTTTAATATTGACCAAATATTGAAGTACGTTTTATAAGTTAAGTTTCTACTGGTTTTCTTAATTTTGCTAACCTAAGGTAATCTAACAATCAATTTTTCTTTTTTAAATGAAGCAAGCATTTAATTTCTATTTCTAAATCTCAAACTTGCTTGTTGTCTTTGGAATGACAAAAATAATTGGATGTAATAGGAAACCTTTTCAATTTTGTGTTATCTTGTTACTGGGAACCTATGGATAGGCATCAAAAAATATTAACAGACACGAAAAGATACAGATAAAGAATTCCATAAGATAACATATCCGGGATGTTTGTTTTAAAAATGAAAACAAAGCAAAAACACAGCACACTACCACAGGCTCCTAAAACTCTGATCTGCTACCTAGACACTGATTAACATGACCATGTGAATATTAGCTGCCCAATCTATTGGTTGACCTTTTGGTGCGGGGTGGCTCCCAAGAAGTGCTCAGGAGACCTGGGAGAACCTCCTAGCAATTCTCAGTCAATAGGATTGTGGGTGGGGACCATGTGATACCAGGGCACTGAACAGCATGGGATGGACTACATGCAAAGTATATCACTATCCTACCTCTTGGGTGCCACTCAAGATTTTAAAAATTGTATCTTCATCTTCCTGAAGTCAACATTTGTTTGTTAACACCACCAACACCACCACTACCTTTTCTGACCACACCTGGCAGTGCTCAGGGGCTATTCCCACTTGGAGGACTATGTAGTACTCAGGATTAGATGGAAACTTCGGCCCTTTTGGCCATCTCCCCAGACTATAGCAAGCTTATTATTTATTTATTTTGGGGGCCACACTCTCCAATGCTCAAGGGTTTCTCCTAGCTCCTTACTCAGGAATTTCTCCTGGAGGGGGCGGTCAGAGAACCATATAGGATGCTGGGGATTGAACCTCCTGGCGTCAGGTGTAGACAAGGCAAGCACCCTACCCATGTTGTATTACAGCTCAGTCAATTTTTTAAAATAATTATTTCATATAGTCTTCGCAGTTTTGCTTATTGATCAGAGACTAGTGATAGCTGTCAATATTTTCTTTTATGCATCATGGAAAATTATAATCCTATTTACTGACATGAACTCAGTGTTTATAATAAACTATTTGGCAAATCTGAAAAATAGTATCTCCAATGTATATGCGACCTTCCTTGTTTATTTTTGTTTAAATTAAAAATACTGGACCATGTAAAGGTCATTAAATATTGACGGCTTTGAGGGGAAAATCGCCTTAATTTTGAGAGAATTCCTTTAGTGAGACTATTGTTACTTGTGTGTTCACAGTGTCTAGTACAATGATCTGTCTAATCAATTCTGAGATGTGAAAGGATGACCACACAAGATTTCTTCTTTAGTTCTATAGAACTCTGACACAGTGTGAGCAAAATACATTTTCTAGCCATCTCTTAAAAATTTACTAACTGCTTGATTTGTTCGGTTTGCAAGGATTGTCTCCGGAACAACATTTTTTTACTTTTGTATTCTTTGGGGAAAACAGGAGCTGTGGGCATAAGGACTTTCTGACCACAAGAAAGAAGGCTGGAGAGCTTGTTGTTGGCATTAATATCTGAGAAGGGGGGGTGTGGATTCACATTGAGCGGGGGCAGGAATCCTGGCCTGGTTAGGGGGACGCTGTGATCTAAAGGGAAAGCCCCGGAGCCCCGCCTTTCTAGCACCGCGTGGTTACGCCGACTCAAGGGTCCTGGGGCCATGTTCTCCAGCACTTCTTTGGACCCAGAAAGCAAGGAAGAACCTGGAGACAGTATCTTTTTCTTTCCAGTTACTGCTTTGCCTTCCTCTAAATTTGTCGGGATGGGACCGGCTGAGAGCTGAGAATCAGAGCTGTAATGATTTGCTCCCGAGTTTCTTTTCTGAACGATATTTTGTAAGGTAGAAGCAAAGATCGTCTGGGTAGAGTCTGGGTCCTGGTCAACAGGGATTTCAGTGCATTGCTGGTTTCCTTCTGGGAAAAAGGATGGATAATTTATTTCCTCATAGGACATCTTTCTTGAGCTGGCCTGATCAAAGTTTCTCAGCATATATGCTGTGTCTTTGATATCGATGCTTTGGTGTCTGGTGATGAATCGCTTGGAAAGCGCCAGCCCGTTGACTTTGTAGGATAATTCTTCCTCAGGTGTGATATCCTGGAGCTCCTCTTGCAAAGAGGCCACTCTGTTCTGGTGCATTAAGGAGGGGGTGCTCTTGATGCGGCCCGCAGGCTGGGGTAGCTTGGGTCCCGTCGGGACCAAGGTTGGTTTCCTCACGGGGGAGTCGGGCTCCCGCGCATCATCGCTGCTTCCCGCAGACTCCAGATCTCTGAAGCCAAAAAGGGTCCTTTCTGTTTCCGAAGAAGGGGTAAGGGGCGAGGAGGCGGTTTTGATGTCAATTTCCGAGGGCGTGGCGCAGGTGTCTGGGGAAGGGCATTCATCCAGATCACCTGGAGGCATATTTAAGTACTGCTTGGTTGTGTGCCTGCCAGAGGGCGATTTTGCTGTGGTTATGATAATAACCTCTTTCCCTTTAGCCTTGCAAGCGCTAAGAAGAACTTTCAAGGTCTCTCTATCTTCGGAATTTATGGCATACACTAGGGCCGAGTAACTGGAATGGTCTTGCAAGCTGAGGTCAGCCCCGCTCTTCAGGAGCAAGGAAACCACCTCCGGACCAGCTTTCTCTAGGCAAGCATGCATCAGAGCGGTTTTCCCAGATTTGTCCTGTATGTTGGGATCCGCATTGTTCTCTAGCAGGTACTTAACCATTTTGGCTTTACTGACACTCTGGTGGTCCACATGCTTGGACTTACAAGCGATCATTAAAGGCGTTTCTCCGCGGTCATTGCTCTCGTTAATGTAAGCCCCGCCTTCCAGCAAGAGCCTGGTGAGGCGCAGGCGACTCTGGTGCACAGCTTTGATGAGGGAGTTTCCATCACTGGAAATGTCTACACCTTCATCCATCTTCCAAAGTCAGAAATCAATGCCTGCTTATCAGAGAAGAGGAAGATCAGATGATTAGTCAGAATCAATGTCTCAGTTTGTATATGTTTTGTTAGCCACACCCAGTTTCCAAAATATCAAGAAAGAGGGTAGTTTGTTATTATGTTATAGATTATGATATTAGTAAATGTAAAGTAAGTGAACTGAAACATAACTTTTGGAATAATAGCCATCTCTAGGGAATTAAAACTTACTCTCAGAATCTTCTTGAATACTTATAACACCATCCTAATATTCCCCTAAATCCCAACTTAATTTAACAATACTGCTAATTTGCTACTTGTGAAAACATTGGGTTTAGGTTTTTAGTTTATTTGAGGCCACATCTGGTGGTGCTCAGGGCTTATACCTGGTTCTGTGCTCAGGACCTACTCCTGGTGGGGCCCAGGGTCTGTATGGGGTGATGGGAACCAAACCCAGGTCAGCAACTGCAAGGGAAGGGACGTACCCATTGTACTATCCCTCCAGCCTACTTGTGAAAATATTGGGAGAGGGCCCATTTCTACTGGTATCAGGGGTGCCATGTGGTGCAAGAGATTAAATTCAGGGCAATGTACATACTAGGCATGTGCCCTGCAATCTGAGTTATCCCTCTGACCAAATTTTTTTTATATAAGACTAAAACATAAATTAAAGCAGAAAAGCCAAAATTCTATGAATCATTTAAAATAGAACATGCTTATCGTAGCCTAATATAAGCCTTGTTTGAAATTACTTAAATGTGCTATTCAGTTGAATAATGCAATTAATATTTAAATTATTCATTTCAGGGGAATTTCTGCTTCTTTATAAGTATGAAAATATTTTTGGGCTACAAGATATTAAAATAGCTGACACATTTCTGGAATTAACACTGAGACAGATAAATAGTCTGTGATTACGCTTTCTTCTTGATTCAGTACTTAAAACAGATGCTGACTAGATTATAGGGTTAGCAAATACTGCTGGGTTACAGCAGTACATTGTGTATTCTAGGCCCTAGTTTCTTAAATTGTGGGTCAGAAGCCCATATGGGATCAAATAACTGAATGTAAAGGTGAAGGGGAAAAAATAAGGAATAATGGAAATTTTCTGAGTGTGCAATGACCAACAATTACGTCAAAACCAATCATGTAATGAATCTGAGGTACTCTGGTAGCACTTGCTCAAGAAGCATTTGTCAGGTGAAAAGGGGCCACAAGTGGGGGCTAGTGAGATAGTACAGGGATTAAGGCACTTGTCTTGTCCACACCCAACCTTTGTTTGATCCCTGATGCCCCTACGCCCCCACCCCCAGGAGGATTCTCTGGTACATTCAGAAGTAAGCTTTGACCACCACAGGTGTGTCCCAAACTTTCCAAATAGGGTGGGGAAAGAGAAGGGTCACAAGTGGAAAAAATTTAAGAACCTCTGCTCTAGGCTAATCCCGTGAATGAAGACATGTAGACTTTATAAACAATTTTTTTTGTCTTAAAAACTGAAAGTTATGTTTGTATAGTTTATTTAAGTAATTTGCATTCAAATGTGTTCCGTGTTTAATTTCATGAGGTAGTGAGGATTGTCTTTATCTAAAACAGAGGAAATGTTTGTCTTTAAACAGACAGGCCTGGGGAGAAAAATGAAGTGGGCGTTTATACCTAATATTTAATATTTAAACCTATGCCTTTAATTGACTGGAAACAGAATTAGTATTTATGCCACTAAATGCTTTTATTTATTTACTTATTTTTTTGGTTTTGCCAAAAACAGTAACAATGACAGTCCTCATTCCCCTGATCCTGAAAAAGCCCCTAATACGCCATTAGGCTACATGACACTAGCACATGACAGGGATGAACGGAGACGTTACTGGCGCCCGCTTGAACAAATCGATGAACAATGGGATGACTGTGATACCGTAATACAATGATTTTTGCTTGGGGGCCACCCCTCTGGTGCACAGGGCTTCTGCTCTGTAATCAGAAATCACTTCTGCCAGTACTTGGGGACCATATGAGGTGCCAGGGATTAAGCCCAGGTCAGCTGTATGCAAGGCAAGTGGTATCTCTGCGTACCGATTTCTAAAAGACCCATGGACCATGAGTCATGGCCTGAGGACAACCCAGTTGTTGAGCTCTTGCCTGCCAGGAGTGAGTGGGTTCAATCTCTGGCAGCACCTCACATGCTGAATGCAGTCCAAGGGGCATTGGTCTTGGGGATCTCCAGGGCCACAACCAAGTGTCCAGGCTCAAGCACTTGACAACCAAGTGTGTGATTGCACTGCAAGAAAAAAATGTGCAACTCCTGTCAAGCACTGCCTGCAAAGTGTGCAGCTCTCGGTTATGGCAACGAGAACAGCAAAGAGAAGACAAGGGGGGAATATATAACATGGAAAAGAATTAGGGATATTACCTTCTGCCGGAAATTTCTAAATAGAAAGATACCAAGAAAGCAAAGGAAAAAGAGGAAGATAGACATGCACAAAAAATCCCTTGGGAAGCAACTATAAGCTCCCAGGCACGGTCACTTAGCTACTGTGGTGCAAATTCTAGCTGCCAAGAGCTTCCTCAATGGTCTGCAAGAGACATCACCCTGAAGGTTTCATTCAACTCAAAGGAGAAGCAAGTGAGGCATCTGCAAAAGGAGTTCATTGGCAACAAGCTGGCAGGATGGAAGATGGAAGACTCCTGTTCTCAAGCAAACCATCTCGTCTGCTCCATCACAGACAGGCTTTTATACAGAAAGAGAGCAGAGAAGCACATTGGCAAAAAGGGAGGGTGAGCTCCAGACAGGTGGGTGCCTGAGCGATCAATACATTCACTCAGGGACTGAGTCCCCTGAAGCACTTCCTGTGTGACTGCAGATAAAAATATCTGATTAAGGTTTCTGTCCTCTTTTCCTGTAGGACAAGAGAAGGGGGACATTCTCCACATTCTCAGTCATCCCTAACCAGACAGGTTTTCTGGTATCTGATATCGATTTCAATTCCTAATTTCTCTGGACCTGTTTCTGAGATGCTGTAAAAGCTGTGGATAATGAGTTCAAATCATAAAAACACACAGGCTTACATGACCTGGGTGCCCCCAGGGCCTCCAAGGCCAACCAGAAGAGCTGGGTCTTGAACACAACCTCAGCGACTTGGCAGGCCCGCCCAGGAGCAAAAGAAGCAGAGAACCAGCCTGTGCTGAGACCTGGTGGCTAGAAATAGCCCAGTTATTCATCATTAAAGCAGGCTCAATTAAGGCTGATGTGGCTGAAGCTCAGGAACATCTTTTAGTAGGTGAGACATCCTAAAAAACAAAGAATGTTTTTAAAAGACAAACTCGCAAAGATAATAGGGCAAATGAGAGAAGACGAAAGCAACCTCTGGGAAGCCAGAAAACAGGGGGGCTGGTGGGAACTGACTGGGCCAGCCTGTGGGACAGTGCCCTTAATGATGCCGCTGCTGCTGTGAACTCGGCTCTCAAATCTTTGAGAAGCAGCAGGAAGTGCAAGAACAAGGGGAAGGAGCTGAAGGGCTGTTGAGGCCATTAAGAACTGCAGTTAGATTCAAGTCCTTGCTACTTGATATGTAACCCTACTTTGGGCCGCACCAACGGCACTGCCTGTAGTGTTAGAGAAACAGGTTCTGGGTTGGGGAGAGAGGTGACTCCAGAGGCCGGAGCACGTGCCTTGTATCCACCAGGCCCGGAGTTTAATTCCCAGCACCCTGCAGTCTCCCCTGCCACCCCAATTCACTGGTGGATGAAGGCCTCCTGCCCCACACCCCGAGCTGCTGGTCAGCTGCTGGCCCTGGCTGGGCCACCAAACCTCCTGAGCATTTTGGGGAAGCCTGTTCACTCTCACAAAAAAAAAAAAGAAATGAATAATATCAAGCCCTCAAGGGATAAGAAGATATTTGTAACCGTGAAACAAGAATGAGATTATTTCACAGTTTCAAGATTCCATGAAAAAGGGACATTCAAGACATAAAGTGCTCTTCAAAGGTAAAAATCATAAAATTGCAAAACTCAGTGGAAGGGTTGGATGGTAATGTTGATGAAAACACTCTTATAAAGAGAATAAAGAAAGAAAATTAGAAGATTAGGCCCGGAAAATTATCATAACAATTAGAGGTTCTAGGAAGTAAAAAAGAGGGGTATGAAGGAAAAAGGAGAGCAAAAGAGAAAAGTATTAAGACCAAGAAGTTATTCTGGACTCAAGGGACAGAAGCTCCCAGGCAGAAAGACCCTAGAGTGTACCGTCTAGATGCTGGTCCCTGGCTCAGCCAAGAACACAAATTTGGAAAAAGGGTCTGGAAGTTTCAGGAATTAAAGCACTTGCTGTGCATGCAACTGACCCTGGTTCAATCCCTAGCACCACATATGGTCCTTGAGCAGGAACAGGGCTCACTCCTGAGCACAGACCCAGGAATAGCCCCTGAGCCCTGGTGGATGTGGCCCTAACACTTCTCCTCCAAAATACAGCATGTATATGGAAGAGCAAAACATTTACAGAAGATATATTTCATAGTTACAATTTATGAAAACTTCATCAAATCCTTTTATAACACAAACCATCCATATGTATTATTAATACATATAATAAGTACCATCATCATATGTATTTATGCCCAGACTATCAAGGAATTTCAACTTTAAATTCCAATATGCATTGTCATTTGATCATTCATGATGATCAGTCAAGACCTTCTCGCCAATACTGATAGCCAGTGAGAGGAAGGCATGCGTTCTATCTCCCTGCCCACATACCTGCAACTCAGGAACTCAGTAGTGGCAGGTGAGTTGAGAGGCTGGGTCCTAATTCAGAGGTCTATTCTGAATGCAAAGCATCTGAAAAGAGCTCATGTGAGACAGATGACAAAAGAATCTTCTTTTAGCATTTTCCACATACAAATGGGTTTAATAATGCAAAGAGATTTAGACAAATGAGCTGGAACATAATATTAACTACAAAAAAAAAATCCAGTAGCTGCAATTCAAGAAGAGGTTGTGTCAGTTATGTAAAAATACCTTTGACCAAGAGTAACAGTTGAGAAACATATATGCAAATGAGAGCATGTCACCAGATTTCAATATTCTATTCTCAGAGAGTCACTGGTGCTGGCCAATCTTGTTTCTAAAACATGAAGTCTGACAGGGCTGGCGAGAGTAAGGCTTCACAGCCTTCTGACTCCAGTTCAATCCTTCACATCACATCCCCCTAGCAATGTTAGGGGATCACGACTGAGCACAGAATAGCCCCTAAGCACTGCAAGCTCTCTCCTCCCTACCCCAGCCTATGAAGTCTTATAAGAAACTGGACTTTCAAACCTTTTTTGCCTATCTTCATGGTAAGCCTCCTCCTCCCCTGTTGCAACACTAAACCTGACCACTTTCTGTCACAACTTCCATCAAGGCGAGGCTTTAGGAGCAGAGGCACTGGTGATGGCACTGGGGCTGCATACCTGAGGGGCAGGAGAGAGAGAGAGAGAGAGAGAGAGAGAGAGAGAGAGAGAGAGAGAGAGAGAGAGAGAGAGAGAGACAGAGACAGAGAGAGAGACAGAGAGAAGAGACTGGGCAGTTGTACCAGCATGCCATGTGGACGTAGGCAAGTACTGGAGGTTCATCCAGCAAAAACCCTCCATGAGGTTTACTGTTTATTTGCTCTTTAAAGCTCATTGGACTGCTCGCTATTCTTTGAAGAAGACTCCCAAGCAATGCCCAGGGGGCTGGTGGTCAATCCCAGTGATTCTTTTTTTTTCTTTTCTTTTTGGGTCACACCCGGTGATATGCAAGGGTTACTCCTGGCTCATGCACTTGGAAATTACTCCTGGCGGTGCTCAGGGGACCATAGGGGATACTGGTAATCAAACCCGGGTCGGCCACATACTAGGCAAACACCTACCAGCTGTGCTATCGCTCCAGCCCCAATTCCCAGTGATTCTTGACCACAGGTGCGATGGCTCAAGGACATGGGGCTGTTTGGACTCTGCAGTGCTGGGCACCCCCAAGACTCCAAGGCCATATCCACTAGGGCTCTGGCAACACTCACTCTCTCAACTGGTCATACTTAGGACAGCAATTTAGACATTGTGTAGATGGTTGTTTTTCTCAGACAAAAATATCTGATTCTCCACAAGAGTGCCTGTGTCTCTTCCTGAAAGCAGTGCCCTGAGAGAATAATTCCTTCATCGCAATGCCTTTTCCTCTGTGATAATCTCTTTATCACAGAGATTCCACTTCACTACTTCACCTGCCACCCAATGCCCCCCTCCTCTTCACATGCCTGCAGGTGTCCCAGCTCAAAAATGCTGCCCCTGAGGTCAGAAAGATAGTTCAGAAGCTAAAGCTACTGTCTTGCATGCAACCCACTCCGGTTCAATCCTGGCACCACATACAGCCCTCTAAATACCGCCGGGACTGATCCCTGAGCAGAGAAGCAGGAATTAGTCCTGAACATCTCTGAGTATGCCCCACCCCATCAGTGCTCCCCCATCCTACCTGTCTCCTGTCAATCTTCCCCCCAGGGCAAATCCTGTATTAATGCTCAATCAGACCCTCTGTGTGAATCTGGCTGACAAATGATTTCCAAATTCAGTGACCCCTTCCAAATAGATAATAAAAGTTGGGGCAAGTCTGGAGGTGAATAGACCCACAGACCCACCCTGCCTGCTGCCTTATGGGCAATCCCCCTGCTCCAATCACAGCCTCTGACTTGGGTGTCTGTCTGTGAAATGAGAATCACACGACATTCATGCTCCAAAAATGGGAGAATGAAATCAACTTCTAGGAAAGGATGTTGTGCCTTCTATGTGAGGCTAGTTTTTATGGTGGGGTCACGCTTGGCACAGTTCTTTCAATACAGTACTTAGGGATTACTCCTGGCAGTGCTGTATTGAACCGGGTTTCTCAAATGCAAAACATGTGCTCTAACCCTTGAAGCTAGCTTCTCTTTTTAAAATTTTTATCATAGAATTAAGATATTTTTGGACCAGACCCAAAGGTGTTTGCACGTGGGAGACCCAGGTTTGATCTCCAGTATCCCTCAGGTCCTCTGAGCCCCATCTGGAGTGATTTCTGAGCGCAGAGCCAGGAGTAAGTCATGAGCACTTCCGGGTGTGGCACACACACACACACACACACACACACACACACACAAAGAATCAAGATGTCTTTCATCACTTTTCTTGGGTAGGGTGAAGGGGAGGATTTGAACCATACCCACCCAGGCAGCAGTGTTCACAGGCTATTCCTGGTTCTGTGTTTACGGGTGACCCCTGGCAGTGTTCAGGGGCCAGATTCAGTTCCAGGGATTGAATTGGGATCAGCGGTGTGTAAGGCAAGTGCCTTACCCCCTGCATTATCTCTCAGGCAGGCCCAGCATCTTTAATTTCGATTATTTCTCATCTCTCTAGCCTACATACATAACAGATGAAACAGTTCAGCATGGTTTCTCTTGGGATCTGCAAAGAATGTTTTATAAATGTAAATTTATATACATTTTATAAATGTAAATGGGATGACATAATTAGTTGCATAATAATTTCCATAAGTGAACTATCACTTATAAAATATCACTTAAAAAGGAGACATTAAGTACATTTCCCACGTATTTTCCAAATACAATAATTTCAACATCATAAAATAATAATTACTAAACAGTCAGATAGATCGCTCTTAATTTTAACATTCAGAATGCCTCTGACATCTCAGAACCTGTTTAACTCTACTTTTAGGGCTACTTACTGCTTCCAAGCCTCCCCCCACACTCTAGTTAGAATGCAATATCTGACAAAATTAAAAAGGTACATATTCTGAAGAACAAAGGAGAAAGGAAGTGAGATATCATCAGAGGAGCAATTGCAAGTGAACACTGGAAACTGAGTCTTAGCCGAGCGGGGGCTGCAACATCAAGTGTCCCAGGGACTCAGGAAAGACTGAAAAGGAGACTGAGGCCCAGAGCCTGGGGACAGACACCTGGACCTCCAGCCCCCAGGTACTTCAGCCTCGCCTAAGCAGCTGACAGCCACCTTCCTCAGCAAGATGGCCCAGGTGCATTCTAAGAACACAGGGGTCGGTTTCAAACAGGAGGAGGCATGCTGAAAAGCGAGAGTGTCTGAGGTGAGACGTGAGAACTCCCAGCTCTCTGCCCTGCCAGCAGGCAACCCACAACAGACCAGAGTGGAGAACTGGAAGGGGCAAGGACACGCTCGCTCATAGGACAATGAAAATCATCTGCCCATCCAGGGAAGCATTTCAAACTCCAGCCGCCTATGTCCCTCCAGACACCCACTCTACATGGAAATAGAAAGTTACCTGTAAACATGATTCCAAATTGCACACTTGACAGAGGTCTCTTCTCTCCCTGGATGAGTTTCCTATCAGCCGGCTGTCAGTTCCTCCTGAAGGAAATCAAAGCTATTCAGAGTTACATAAATACCAATAATTCTTTCCACACACAGCACTCGCATTGGGAGTCTAGTATTTTAATTTCTCGTGAAGATGTTCCTCCAGTACACGGGCTCATCATTTCTCACTGGTTATGTAGTCCGTAAAAACATCTGGGGTGGGCCTTAGGATTGCAGACCCGTGTGTCTGCAAGACCCAACCTACCCTGCAAACAAAGTGGGGTACTGGGGTGTGGGCTGGCTGGCACTGGCGCAGCTGCCCCTGTGTGCTGAGGAGGAGGGTGAGGACCAAGGCCAGGTGGGAGGAGTCTCCTAAGTCGTTCTCCCTAGTGGCCTACTCTCCAGGACTCAATTAGCTATTCCTGTGTCCTTCCTTTCTCTGTATTCCTGTTTCCACGCTTCTTGGATACCAGCTGCCCACAAAGCAGCATTTCTGTTTTAGTGCCGCACTCATGTGGTGGCTAGCACACCCGTGCCAGGGCCGAGGTGCTTTAAAAGTCATCCTGGATGATGGCTTGAGCCTTTCCTGTGGCTTTTCCTCCCAGGCCACCCCCAGCTCCTTCATTCAGAGGGGGGAAATGAAATTTCCTTCCAGTCTCTTATTCCATCTCCAAATAGAATCAGAGCCCCCTCCTGTCAAGTTAATTGTCTGGCCATAGAGGAGGAGGAGTGGGGGTGGAAATTAACAAGTGGGGTTCCAACTTGAGATTCCACCCCTCTGCCTTGCCCTGCTCCCTGCCTGGAACTGTCCACAGTGCAGACCTGTGTGTGTCTGCAAGGGTCAGAGCCCGAGCATGCTCAGAGGAGGCAGAGGCCTGGGGGTCCCTTGCCCGGCCTCATCTCCTCCCGCGTGATCCACCCCTAGGAACCTGTTCCTTGGAAACTTGGCTTCCTCATCCCTCAGAGGAAGATAATGCGTCTCTGACAGCAGATGGTTGCGGAGATTTGACCAGGAGACCCTACAGCCCTCGCCACTTAGGCATTCAACCAATGTCAGTTTCCAAGCATGGGCCAGGTACCGCACTGGGGACTCCACTGCGCTGCTGGGCCTGACAAAGGGAGATCAAGGTCCTTAGTCTGGGGCCTCCCCTGGGCCAAGGAATCATGCAAGGGGCTTGTGAAAAATAAGATTCCAGGCATCAGGATACTCAAGGGGGTGGGCGGGGCGACCTTCCTGTGCACCCTTACAGCAAATCTGCAGTTGCAGCCCATTTGAAAAGGCTTCTTCCAGCCTGCCTCAGCCATCACCTCCAAGTGTTCTGATGGCCAAACCCCACTGCAGTCCCAAGGGCAGTGATGGCTGTAGGTGACCTGGCGAGGGAGGAAGGAGGAAGCAAGCCCACAGGTCCCTAGAGAAGAGTCTAGCCTTGAGTTTGAATGGGCCAAGGACAAACGGGCTGCTCCCAGCCCTTCCCTGACCAGTCTGGGGAAAACACCACCCCAGAGACCTAGTGGGCTGCCCCAGGCTAGGCTGTGGAATGAAGCCTGATTGCCAGGAACCAAACAGGTCTGACCCCCAGGTCAGGCAAGGGGCAGCGCCTGAGGGGCAGAGAGTGTCCCCCTGGGCAAAGGGGCTTGCTATGCGTGCAATCGGCTCTGGGTTTGTCTGAGCAAAGCCAGGAGTGACCTCTTGAGCAGAGAGCCCAGAGAAAGCCTTGAGCACTCCAGATGTGCCTCTGTCAACTCCCCTCTGCTACCCCGCCCCCCCCCCCCCCCAAAAAAAGATGCATCGGGAGACTGTCCCAGTAAATGAAAGGACTTACAGGGAAAAGTGTTCTTTATTCCTTGGCACCCGATTGCATGGAATGTTGAGAAACTGCCCAAAGGGGCGACAGCTGGAAAGGCTGAGCTTGTTTCCCCCAAAGGGCTGCTGTCTTCTCTTGCGGCCCCAACTCCCCAGGCCTCTGAAGCTGGGCCTTGGGCCAGCTATACCCCCAACCTCTCTTGGTAGCCCCCCCTCCATCCCCTCCCAACACAGAGACAGCAAACCTCTACCTCCAAGTGGCGGGGAAGCAAGGTGATGGGAATTCCAAGCTGTTGAAGCGCCGACAGCGTCTTCCAGGTCCCCGGCGGCTCCAGGATTCAGCTGTTTTCCTCGGCTTTTTTCCCGAAAGCGGGAGGGAGCCAGCCCGAGGTGCTGTCGGAGAAGGGCAAAGGAAGGTGACTGGGGCGACAGCGCCGGGGCACCGATGGGGGCGGGGTGCGCGGCTCGCCGCCTCGTCTCCGAGCCGAGGCCGGTAGGCAGCCGCGGGGCCGAGGCGATCGCCAGCCACGGAAAGGGGGTTCAGCCCAGCGCGGCTTCCGAGCGGCCCCCCGCGCCGCCCGCCCAGGGGCCGCGGCCCTCCCTCGGGAAATGGCGCACCCGAGGGGCGCTGCCGAAGCCCCCTCTCCGCGGCAGGCGCACTTCTGGGCCCCGGCTCTCGGCGCCTCGGGGTCCGGGGTCCGGGTACGCAGCGGGGCGCGCCGGAGAGGCTCCGGGACCCGGCTCTGCGCTCGCATTTGTCGAGTCAGCGGCTGCGAAGGGCTCCCCGCCCGCACCCCGCGCCCTCGGCCGCCGGAGGCACCTGCGGAGACGCGCCCCGCCGGACCCTCGGCCCGCGCGCTCCTGCGGCCGCGCGCGCGCCCATCCGCGCCTCCCCGGCACCCCAGAACCGTGGGGCGGCCCCCACCTCCATCCCCGGGAGACGGGCTAAATACGCCTCCCGCCGGGCTCCGAAGCCCTGGCGCCGCCCAGCCCGAGCCGAGGACGGGCCGGGGGTGCGGGAGGCGCCGGAGCGGCCCGCGCCGGCCCGGCGGAGTCTCCGGACTGGCCCCCGTCGGCGCCGCCGCCTCGCCCGCGCGCTGCAGTGCTCCCAGAGCCCCCGGCGGCGCCCTCGGCTCCCTCCTCCGAGCAAAGTTTCCCGAAGTGGCGCGGGCGGCGGGGCAAGCACACTGACCTGGAACGCGCCGCCGAGGGCCGTCCGTGCCCCTGATCTCCCCAGCTCTGCGCCGTCCCCGCGGCGCCGTCCAGCTCCGTTGCGGTCCTCAGGGGCTCGAGGACCCGGCCACGGCCACCCTGTCTCCGCCCCTGCTCCGCGGTGCGCACCTCGCCAAACGCCCGAGACGCGCGGGGCTCTGCCCGGGGCCACGCAGGCTCGGGGCTGCGCGGCAGGTGGGGGCGGCGGGGCCAGGGTGCTCCCAGCTAATCCGATCTCCCGGGCTCGGGATGATGCCCCTCCGAGGTCCGCCTTCTCTACGCACAGGCACCCCCAACCTTGGCGACCGACCGCGCTTCGACTGAGCCGTGTTGGACAGGAGCAAGGCCAGCAGGGTTCTCTCCCGAGGAGAAGACAGCCGCTACTTCTCCGGGTGCCTTTTCCTCCGGTCCTTACCTGGCCCCTTATCCCAGGTTCGCTCCCCTGGATTGGTCCAAGTGTCTGTCCCCAGGGGATCGGGAACCCACTTTAGGTCAAACCTAAAGTTCAGATGGGGAGGCGAGAGCCACCTTTCTTTCATTTAAAATTGAGCTTTACACTTTATATTATGTTATTAAAACATAAGTATAACCTCCCCACAACAAAATTTAGCAAAATAGATTTCAAGTGCTAAAGCCCACTGAGGGAGGAAGAGAAAGGCACGAAGCAGCAGCTTTTAGATCTTCATTTATCTGGATCCGTCTGCTAGAAAAACGCCGGGAAGCTTGTCTTCTTGTTCAGATCAGATTTATCAAAACCATTGCATAATTCGGAGATCTCTAAGAAAAGAATGTAGATTTGTGTCTAGACAGACTTTCTCTCTCTCTTTTTTGGCTGGCATCGGGTGTGGCACACCCAGTGGAGCTTAAGGCTTTCTTCTGGCTTTGCACCCACAGCTCACTTCTGATGATGTTCAGGGGACCACAAGCAATGCCGAGGTTAGGTTCTGGAGTCAACCACGTGGAAGACAAGAGCCTGACCAGCTGTACTGTGTCTCCCATAGTTGCTTTACTCTCCCAAACTCCTCATCTCCCACTGGTTTATGGTGGGTTTATAATATTAATGAAACATCAGAGGTTTAGCTTTATTCTTCTGTGTTGCATATCACCACTGGTACCGAAAGTTCCAACACCATCCCACCACCAAATAACCCCCTCTACCAGTTCTTCCTTTTCCTGTGGCAACCACCATCGTTCTCACTGAGTTATTTTTGTTGTATATTTTGTTGGGGGGCAGGGGCATGTTTCGCTACTCCTGGTCTCAGGGCTTTACTCCTGGCTCTTTACTTAGGGAACACTCCTGGTGATGATCAGGGCACCTTATATAATGCTGGTATTAAACCCAGGGTTGGCTGCATGCAAGCCAAGTTCCTTACCTGATATGTTAGCTCTCTTGCCCTGTTTTGCTTGTGCTAGAGATGAAACTCAGGGCATCAGACATGTGAGGCATACACTCACTCTACCGTTGAGCTACACCTCCTGCCTAAGCAGGATTTTTATTTTTTTAACTCAGAAAAGAGCCTCCTGAAGTTGGCTTTTTAGTAAATAATATAAAGCTAGTGCACAGAGCTGTTGCTGCTGGAGTCTTACCTCAGGGACCTGGAAACTTGGATCTGGTTGCCCTGCATTTACAACCATTTTTGAGAAATTGAAGGTTCTCAATTGAAGGTGAATTCCCATGAAAACTAAAATAGTTTTTATTGGGACCAGAAAGATGGCTCAGAGTGTTGGACTGCATGCCTGATTCAATCCCCAGAACTACCTGGTTTCCCTCATTCCTGCTGGAGCACCCCAAGAATGGCCAAAACAACAACAGAAGGTTTGTATTGGTGAAGAGTACATAGTAAAAGGTGTACATTTTACAACTTCAGTAATAATGCACAAATTAAAACATTGAAAAAAAGAGCTCTCCAGAAGATTCTTTCTCCTTGGGTGGGAGGGTTTGGCTTCAAAAATCATAGATTAGGGTTGCTTGTCTTGTTCACTTTGTAGCAACTGACTCATATATAACACTCTGATTTCTTCTACTGACCCTTATATTTAAGAGATGTATACTGTCTATGACTATAATGTGTCACTTACTTTTGCTATATAGTGTTCCATTGTGTAAATGTTCCTCCATTTATTCATTGGGTGATTCTCAATTTGGGACATTACAGATATTGCTGCTGTGGCATTTTAATTCATCTTTGATAAATACGCACACATGTGTGCGTGCGCGCGTACACACACACACACACACACACACACACACACAAACACATTTCTGTTGGGACACACCAAGAAGTGAAATTGTGAGATATGAAGCAGCTGTAGATATCTATAGATATTGCCAAAAAGTTTTTCATAGTAAATGATCTCATTTTCACTCTTACTTTCATTAGTTCTCTCCCGCTTTTTCCAGCAACATCTTTCTACTGTTGTTTATAATCAACTGCCACAATTTCAGTGGCTTAAGATGACACAGGCTTTTTTTTCAGGTCTGGTCTTCTAACATGTCTAGAATCACAATGTGGCATGGCTACATTACTCTGGAGACTCAAGGAAGAGCACCCCCTCTCACCCACACCCTTTTCCACTTTTAAAAGGCTTTCTGCATTCCTTGGTTATGGCCCTTACTCAATCTTCAAATCTCTCTCTCTCTCTCTCTCTCTCTCTCTGTTCCCCCCACTTCCTCGGCTTTTGGGACACTCCTGGCATGCTCAGGGCTTACTCAGGGATCACACCTGGCAAGCTCAGAGAACTATATGAGGTGCCAGGGATCAAACTCAGTTCACCATGTGCAAAACAAGTGCCTTACCCTGTTTCCCTGGCTCCCTTCTTCAAACCTTGGTCTCTCTCTTTCTTCCTCCCTCCCTCATTCTTTACTTTCTCCACCATCTTCCCCCGGCCTCACTTTGTGGTTACACGGGGTCCACAGTTCACTTAGATAATTTAGATTAATCGCCTATCTCAAGAGTCTTTATATAATCATTGTAAAGTTCACTCTGGCAACATTTTCACAAATTTCAAGAGCAGGATGTGCACCTCTTTGGAGGAGCCATTATTCAGCTCCCACACCTGTCGAAGGGGCATTAGAACATGTTGGATAGAAATCAAAAGATGAAGAAACCCTGTGTTACAATTTACCTGGAGGATTGGCACTGTGGTCTGGGCACTCAGCCTAGGAGGCTAATTTTGTGCACAATCATTCTGCACCACCAGCACATCAGTGGGCAAGGAACTTTGATAGAAAAGGTGATGTGGACCTGAGTAAAATAGGTAGGAATTTGGACTCTTCTTTCTGAGGGTCAACAACTGTAAGAGAACAGTGGTGAGTAGAACATAATTTGCTTAATTTTGTTGAGTATTTTTATGGGGGGAGTCCACACCCAGTAGCTGCACAAAAGACGAGTACCTTTACTCTGTACTAGCTCTCTAGCAATGCAGTCACATTTTTCATGGCAGGAAAAGACCATAGGCTGTGTCACCATTCCATGTCATGTCCCTGTTCATCCTGCAGGCCTCAGGAACTAATATGTCTCACTCAGGGTTGACTGAACAGTAGGAAGTGCTATCCCACAGTAAGTGAGATTCATGAGGACCCCAAAAGAAGGTGAGAGGTAGAACTTCCCTAAGGCGTGCAAATCCAGTCAGACACATCCGACTTTGTGGCTGATTCAGTGGGATTATTTGGAATGTGAGACATCTGTCCTCATTGCTTCATGCCTTCAAAATGTTGTAGAGGCATTTGAGGACCGGGTAAAAGTAGCTGTGTGTTTAATGAACATCTTGATCACAAAGCCCTACATCTATTTTTCTATCTTCCAGAAATAAGCTGAAAACTTTGGTCTTCTGATGGAACTCTTCCATTTCTTTAAAATTTGTGGTTTGTGTTACTATTCATTTACCATCTGTTCATTTCAGATCTCAAGACAGACAGGAGACACTTTGTATTCAAAACTCTGTGGTGATCATCACCCTCATCTTCATCATCACTGATAACTGCTTTCCCCTCCCCTGGACTTTTTCTCTTCCCTCCAACCCCCTTACATTTTTCTGCCTCGATGGCTTATCTTATTTCAAGTTCCCAATGACAGTATCAATATTTCTCCTCCTTGTTTCTATTTGAATTAACTGCTTCCTGGGTACTGTCACCTTGGGATCTTGTTCTGTGAATCCCCAGGATGGAACTCATAGACCCTGTGTTTTCCTCTCTCTTAAATCACCTCCTCTAATTATGGGGAATCATGTCTGCCATGGAGGCAGAGGGAGGCGGGGAAGGACGGGTATTGGTGGTGGGGAATGTGCACTGGTTTGGGGGTGGGTGTTTGATCATTGCATGATTGTAACCCAAACATGAAAGCTTGTAACTATCTCACGGTGATTCAATAAAATAAAAAAAAAATCACCTCCTCTATTTACTGGTGCATCTCTTCAGTAATTTACAAGAAAGGATATGTAAAAGGTAAAGCTTTGGGTCTCTGCATGTCTGAAAATGTTATTTTACCCTAACAATGAATCATTTTTTTCTGGGTATAAAATTCTAAGTTGAAAGTAATTGCCTTCCAGAAATATAAAAGCATTCTGTCTCTGTTTTCTAATTTCTGAAGTTTATTTATTTAT